GAGGCGAGGCTTGAGGACCGCATTGGTGAGATAGACCGAGAAGGATCGACCTTAGGAGATCGGGTCGCCGCTCTGGAGGCTGAAAAGGAGCAACTGTTGGCCCAAATTGAGTCTTCCTCCGCCGCTGTTTCCCGCTGCTTACACGAGCTTTGGGTTCATGCTGAAGTTCAGCGGGATATATACAAGAGTTTGTGGGAGGTGGGCAATGTTACTGAGGCCGTATATGAAGTAGCACGGGAAAAAGTGCGAGAGGCTCATGTCAATTGTGATTATGACTTTGTGACACTGGAGGTCGATGAGGGCGCAGATGATGAGGGAGGACTTCCTGGAGATGGTGGCGATGATGGTGGTGGTGATGACGCTGAGTGAAATAATGTTGTCTTTGTCTGTTTTCTATTGTTTTTTTATTCGTTGTTGGTTGTCATTGTTTCTTTCTCCTTTTCTCTTCTTTTCTTTTTTACTGTTGGCTTGGGTCATATATAATCTATGACCGCTTACACAGTGACTTTATATAAAGAGGAATTTTTCATTGTTGTATGCCCTCTGTATTTTTTTTGTTTTGCTCTTTATAACTATGGTGCGAAGTATATTCTCGCGTGATGAGTTCCCTATTCTTTGGGAATTTAGTGTCACGCGGGTTGAATGGGATCTTGGCGACGGCTTTGGCAGACGCGTCAATGTTTTCGAACTTGCACCAAGGCACTGTCCCATCATAGTCCGAATGGTATCGAACGATTTTTACAATAACGGTTTTAGCCGTAGGGATATTACTTCTGGGTTCATATTGAAGTATTATCCCGTCGCAAGTCCCGGTCTTTTTTTCCTTTGCCTTAAGGGTGCTATTTTGAATTTTTGTCGAGATATCAATATGTCGACGTTCGATCGAGGTCGAACTCTTTCTTTTTGACGAAGGCCCTTGGCCTTAAGGGCGCTATTTCAAACTTTCATCGAAATATAAGCCCGTCTATGTTCGATCGAGGTCGAACTCTTTTCTTTGGCGATGGTCCTTGACCTTTAGGGTGTTATTTCGAACTTGTCAAAATATTAACCCGTCATCGTTCGATTGAGGTTGAACTCTTCTCTTTGGCGAAGGCCCTTGGCCTTTAAGGTGTTATTTCGAACCTATCGAAATATTAACCCATCGTCATTCGATCGAGGTCAAACTTTTCTCTTTGGCGAAGGCCCTTGGACTTTAGGGTGTTATTTCGAACTTGTCGAAATTTTAACCCGTTGTCGTTTGATCGAGGTCGAACTCTTCTATTTGGGGGAGGACCTTGGCATTTAGGGTGTTATTTCAAATTTGTCGAAATTTTAACCCGTCGTCGTTCGATAGAGGTCGAACTCTTCTCTTTGGCGGAGGCCCTTGGCCTTTAGGGTGTTATTTCGAACTTGTCGAAATTTTAACCTGTCATCGTTCGATCGAGATCAAACTCTTCTCTTTGGCGGAGGCCCTTGGCCTTTAGGGTGTTATTTCGAATTTGTCAAAATTTTAACCCGTCGTCATTAGATCGAGGTCGAACACTTCTCTTTGGCGAAGTCCCTTGGCCTTTGAGGTGTTATTTCAAACTTGTCGAAATTTTAACCTGTCGTTGGTTGATCGAGGTCAAACTCTTCTCTTTGGCGAAGGCCCTTGGCCTTTGGGGTGTTATTTTGAACATGTCAAAATTTTAAGCCATCGTCGTTCGATCGAGGTCAAACTCTTCTCTTTGGTGAAGGCCCTTGGCCTTTAGGGTTTTATTTCGAACTTGTCAAAATTTTAGCCCGTCGTCGTTCGATCGAGGTCGAACTCTTCTATTTGGCAAAGGCACTTGGCCTTTGGGGTGTTATTTCATACTTGTCAAAATTTTAACCTATCGCCATTCGATCGAGGTCGAACTCTTCTCTTTGGCGAAGGCCCTTGGCCTTTAGGGTGTTATTTCGAACTTGTCAAAATTTTAACCTATCGCCATTCGATCGAGGTCGAACTCTTCTATTTGGCAAAGGCACTTGGCCTTTGGGGTGTTATTTCATACTTGTCAAAATTTTAACCTATCGCCATTCGATCGAGGTCGAACTCTTCTCTTTGGCAAAGGCCCTTGGCGTTTGGGGTGTTATTCCGAACTTTTCAGAATTTTAACTCGTCGTCGTTCGATCGAGGTCGAACTCTTCTCTTTGGCGAAGGCCCTTGGCCTTTAGGGTTTTATTTCGAACTTGTCGAAATTTTAACCCGTCGTCGTTCGATCGAGGTCAAACTTTTCTCTTTGGTAGACGTCCTGGGCCTTTAGGGTGTTATTTCGAATTACTCGAAATTTTAACCCATCGTCGTTCGAACGAGGTCGAACTCTTCTCTTTGGCGGAGGCCCTTGGCCTTTAGGGTGTTATTTCGAATTTGTCGAAATTTTAACTCGTCATCGTTTGATCGAGGTCGAACTCTTCTCTTTGGCGGAGGCCCTTGGCCTTTGGGGTGTTATTTCAAACTTATCGAAATTTTAACCCGTCGTCGTTCGATCGAGGTCAAACTCTTCTCTTTGGCGAAGGCCCTTGGCCTTTAGGGTGTTATTTCGAACTTGTCAAAATTTTAACCCGACGTCGTTCGATCGAGGTCGTACTCTTCTCTTTGGCAAAGGCCCTTGGGGTATTATTTCGAACTTGTCGAAATTTTAACCCGTCGTCGTTCGATCGAGGTTGAACTCTTCTCTTTGGCGAAGGCCCTTGGTCTTTGGGATGTTATTTCGAACATGTCGAAATTTTTAACCTGTCGTCGTTCTATCGAGGTCGAACTCTTCTCTTTGGCGGAGGCCCTTGGCCTTTAGGGTGCTATTTCGAACTTGTCGAAATATTAGCCCGTCGTCAGTCCCAGTTTTTAGAGAATCAGGTGTCTTCTGAGGGAGTCCCTGTTCACTTGATTCTGTTCGCGCTGGAGAGTGTAATAGCGTAGAGTACGAAACGTTGTTGTTTTGCTCACGTTTGTTTCATGCATACATTGGAGTTTCTTTGTCTAATCTTTTCGCTTTCCGGTCTGGAGATGTCATCGGTGGGTGATATTTCGGTCGTTTTGTAGTAGTTTTCCATTCTCCGATCTAGGTGTTTCTTTGCTTGCTCGCGTGCACAGTGCTGGTGTTCCTGTTTGAGCAAAGAGCAGAAGGTGAGTCAAACTGATATTTTCCTTACCTCTGGAAGTCCAAGATGGTGGTTTGGAACATCCAAGAGGACACCTGATCCATGCTCTCTTCCCTTNTCGGTGAATGAGGGTGGATTTGCAACGTTGCTCGTTTTGCCTAGCGTTTCGATGGTTGATGGGGCGGTGGTTTCTAAATTTGGTGATTGTATCCAGCTCTCTTTCCCCTTCTATGTTGTGCTTTTATCCTGCGTGGGTTGGGCTTTGCCTTAGCGCTCTTTTCGGTTGGTAATCGTGTTTCCGGTTTTTGATCTGGAAGAGACTAGGAAATTTCACTAAGAAATTACTACAGATGGCGCCAAGTTGTTTGACTCTAAAGATATTAGAACCTTTTTAAATAAATCAATTAAAGAGGATGAAGGAGTAAATCTTAGTTTAACATAATAAATTCCTAATCTGTAAACCAATTGAAAAAAGAATACATAACATGAGATAGAGTTAACCGCTTTTATTAATACTTTTCGTTGTAGCTCCTCTTAATCAATAGAGGACACCTCATTACATATTCTTTTGGAGATTGTTTTATTCTCTCTTCTATTAAGAAGATCACAGAGGAGGGGAGAAGGAGAAAAAAAAAGAGCCCCTTTTACAAGTCGCGCCCCCCTATATATAGTTATGGAATCTCTGCTATATACTTGGTTTATGCTCTTTCATGCTACGTTCGCTTTTATCGTCCTTTCTGACTTGACGGATATTATGAGTACGATATTTGGAATAAAACATGTCGTCTTTAGCTGCCTCGCTGCTTGGGCGGGATGTCGGTCAGATTTTGACCAATACAATATGCATAGCTAAGTTTTGATAGGCAAAATACATGATACTTGACCAAAAAATTATTTTTCAAAATACACTTAGATCACAAATTCAAAAACAACTCAAAAGTTTATCTATGTCCAAACACAACTCTAATTTTCAAATACTATTTTACTTGAATTTTTTATTTTTTTTTATTTTAGAATTTTACAATTCTCATGTCCAAACGCCCACTAATAGTTACCAAAACACATAAAAATTCATTGAACCAAGGTTTCCTTTTCCTCCTTGTTTCATTTTTAATTTTAATTTTCTATTTCTCCAATTATATTTCTTTTCTGTAGTAGTATATCTTCACATAAAAGCAAGAGAACAAAACAAGAAATATGGAAAATCTTGAGGGGCCAAAAGGAACAAATGCTGTCGTTGTATCTGAAAGTGAACAAACAAGTCTACATCTCAACCGAAGTCTATCATTATTAGTATCTCAACAATAGTGAGACTTCTAAATTACGGAATTATATTAGTGGTTTAGCTAGGTTCCGAAAATTAGTTTGTCTTTAGCACTATGATTAGTTTGAGTCGCCTACAATTGTTAGTACATAAAAGTCAAATTAGAATTGGAGCTATTACTAACTTTATTGCCCAAAATCACAAAAATTCCTCTAAAATCAAATAGTCAAGCGTCAAGAATTAAATAAAAAATGACATTGGAGGAGAGAAGTTAGACTTTTCTTTTTGATACTAACATTAATTAATTATTTTTGGTATTAACAAACAAACTAAATAAATATATAGTTGGTAGAAATGAAAAAATAAATACTATTTTACCAAATAATACTCATTTTGAACTCGTCTTAGCTTAATTTTATTTAATTTAATTATGACAAGAGAACATACAACGTATGGGTGGAAACGAGAAGATGACAGAAACAGCGAAAGTGAAAGATTGTGTTGAGAAGAATGCATAGTGTAGAAGCTAGTTAGGATGTTAGAAGTTAGTTAGTGGGCCAAGGCTCGACTGGTTGCTAAGGGGTATAGTCAGCTTGAAGGATTGGATTACAAAGAAACTTTCTCTCATGTGGCCAAAATGGTGACAGTGTGGTCTGTGGTGGCTTTAGCTGCAGCATCTGGTTGGTTCATTTTTCAAATAGATGTGCACAATGCATTTCTCCAGGGAGACCTTCTTGAGGAGGTCTATATGCAGATTCCAGATGGCTTTGCCAGCCAGGGGGAGTGTCATCAGAAGAAAGCATGCAGATTGCATAAGTCCTTGTATGGTCTCAAGCAGGCTCCTAGACAGATGAACTTGAAGCTCACTTCTGCTCTCAAGGATATGGGATTTGTTCAATCTCATTATGATTACTCTCTTTTCACACAAAAGGGTAGGTGGTAATCTGATAGTAATCTTAGTGTATGTTGATGACCTGCTGATCGCGGGGAACAATATGGAGCTTATTCATCAAGTGAGGACAGACTTGCAAGCTAAGTTCAAAATGAAGGACTTGGGAGAATTAAAGTTCTTTCTGGAAATTGAGTTCTCTAGATCTAAAGAAGGAATTCTTATGAATCAAAGGTAATATGCTCTTGAGCTAGTGTCTGAGCTGGGATTGGCTAGTGGTAAGCCTATTGCCACACCTCTTGAGTTTAATCATAAACTCACCTCAGTAGCATTTGATGAATTCATGAACAAAGAGGAAGCCTCTATAGATGCACAACTTGAGGACCCAGGAAGCTATCAAAGACTGGTTGGCAGACTGTTGTACTTGACAATGACAAGGCTAGATATTGCCTTTGTTGTTCAAGTATTGAGTCAACACATGCATGCTCCTAAGCAGTCACATATGGAAGCAGCTATAAGAGTAGTCAAGTATATCAAAAGAACTGCAGGTTTGGGACTGTTTATGCCAGCAAAAAGTAACAAGGAACTAGTTGCATATTGTGATTCAGACTGGGGTTCATGCGTGGAAACAAGAAAGTCTATCACTGGTTATATAGTTAAGTTTGGTGAAGCTGTAATCTCTTGGAAGTCCAAGAAACAAAGCACAGTTTCTAAGAGCTCTGCAGAATAAGAATTCAGGAGTATGGCAGCTACTGTTGCCAAAGTCACTTGGCTAGTTGGTTTGTTTGAAGAGATTGGAATTGCAGTGACCAACCCTGTGCAGCTGTTCTGTGATAACAAAGCTGCTATACAAATTGCAGCACATCCCATATTCCATGAAAGAATAAAATACTTTGACATTGATTGTCACTTTGTAAGGGAGAAGATTTAGAGTGGCCAAATTCAGACTCAACACATAGGGACTAAACAACAACCTGCTGATCTGCTTACCAAGAGTCTATGCAAACCACAACATGAGTATTTGATTAGCAAGCTGAGAATGAAGAACCTCTTCCATCCCTCAGCTTTAGGGGGAGTGTTGAGAAGAATGCATAGCGTAGAAGTTAGTTAGGATGTTAGAAGTTAGTTAGTAGGCCACATGTACAGATGTCAACAGCTAATATATTATTAGGTAGTTAGTGATTAAGTGATGTATATATATACAGTAAGGGTGAAAAGTGGGCCGATTAGGCCCGTGCCCGACCCAGGCCCGCGAGCCCATATGTGTAGTGGGCCTAAATGGGCCTACCCGTTTAAGCCCGGGGCCAGGGGAATGAGGCCCAAGTGAGCCGGTTTATTGAAGAAGCCCGTTTGGACCGAGACCGTTTGGGCCCGGGACTGGGTCCTAAGTGGGCCGGTTCAACTGGTCCTAAACGGGATCAAACGGGCCCAATGACTACTTTTTTAAAAAAAACAAAATTCAAATAGATGTTGCAACATTTAAAAAATGACCATTGGCCTGCAAAAATAGTCGTTTGGGCTTTCTAAAATAGCCATTTAACCCGTCCAACTTTGTTTTAACCCCAAACTTTTTATAATTACACTTTTTTCCTATTTTTAATTATAAATACTCCATCATTCTTTTATTTTTCTCACAAAATCAACAATCTCTCTCATTTCTCAAACTCAAATTCTTAACTCAAGTTAAATCATGCCCGGTGATTCTAGATTGCACCCATTTATTTTGGAACACTTTAATGTGGTAGAAGAAAATGAAAAAGTTTACATAATAAAGTGCAAGAACTGTGGTCGAGTCTACAATCGTCGTCCAAAGGAGGGCACGGGCTGTTTAAGGAAGCATATAAAGAGTTGTCTTGCGCGTTCTCCAGACATTCGTATTTAAGATTTTAAGTTGATTTGAGACAACTTGTGTTATTTTAAAATTATTAGATGTATTATGCTTAATATTTTAGTTTGTTAGATTAATTTAGAGTATTATATTGAAGGCATTGAACTTTTAATTTTAAGTATTAAATGTATACTTTAATTTGCAACTTTGATACCGAGTTCATCTTTATATATATATATATATATATATATATATATATATATATATATATATATACTAGTCTCTATAAACGTGTGTTGCACGATATATCCCGTCAATCATATTAAAAAGCTAATTAATATTATTTTTAATTATATTAAATCTATTTTATGAGGTACGAAAAAGTTATTAGGGTCATATCCTCTTAATACTTCTTAATTTAAAAATAACGTTCTAAATATACATTCCATTTATTGCTGCTACCCTTGAGTAAAAACAAATAGGTTATGACTAAAATAATTGAATATGAGGAATTGAGGCCGTGATCGTATGTTGTATTATTATTATTATTATTATTATTATTATTATTATTATTATTATTATTATTATTATTATTATTATTATTATTATTATTATTATTATTATTAATTGTAACTATAAAAGTATTAAAAGGATATCAATCGTTTTTTGGCGTAAGAAGTCAAATTCTTGTGCGAACGCGTTTGGTTGCACGTTATTTTATTAATGTTTACAAAATTATAGGAGATAAGAAATTTCACTCATCAAAGGGTAAGACTTCACATTTTTTATGACAAAAACAGAAATGGAATATGACAAAAGGTAATAAAACAAACGCGTTAACTACTCTATTGTAACGGTAGCCTTTGTGGCTAATTGTTTTTCTTTCTAAATGACGTCTCCAAAAGTAATAACATAATTAGAAATTGATTTAATAAATTAAAGTGATCACAAAACGTAAGCTACAATATTTAAAAAATATAGTCTTCCATCTCCATAAGGTTTTTCTTACTTCATGGTAGTCTTTTGCAATGAAATTTCATACGTATTAGGAAGAATTTCAACTATTTTATTTTCTTTTTACATGAATTACATATTTATTTACTTGCAAAACATAATTATTTAACTTTATGATGGCTATTTCTATTCTTTCTCATTCTCTTCTCTTATCTTGTAAGCATATCCATATTCATTTACTTTCTTTGCTATGGACATTTACGCTTCGTAATTTGCTTATACCACTTAATTTCACCTTAAAGGTATAATATACTCTTTCATAAAAATAAAAAAAAATAAGAGAAAAGGTTAACATTGTAATTTAATTAAAACAAATAATCCTTTAATAAAATTTAAACAATTTAACTTTAATCAAAATTGAAATTATGAAGAGACAAAGAAGTAATATCAATCGGTATTATATTCATTTAATCTTGAATAGACATTATACAAAAGCAGTAAATAAATAAATACAAGAGAAAATCTTAAGTTCTCTTTTAGTGAGCATGACTCGTTCATTCTCTCTATACTCTAGACCGCATGTTTAGCATTTTTAATTTTCTTTCCACGTCATAAAGTAACTCTATTTACATGTAAAATAGAAAATAAAAGTATGGCATGACTATAATTAGAATTGTAAAGTTAAAACTCACCTTAAAATCTGCAAAGATAAAATAAAAGAGTATAATATTTCACTTGAAAAATCAACATTTTTAGCACCACAAGAATCTGCTTCGCGCAATAAAGGCTTTAGCAATAATATCAATAGCATGATTTTTCTAACTCATCAACACAAAAGTTTAGTGTTTGCTTTCATTGGATCTTGCACCTAATCTTCATAAGTTCGTCCACAAATTTTATAATACAGAAGTAATTTTTATTTATTGAATATATAGATCAGAGAATTCAGTGATCTATCTCTAAACCTCACGTGCTTGTGTTTGGTCTAAATATCTGAATGTCTTTAGTTCTTTTTAAAAGAATAATTACCTTCTCTAGAAAATTAGGAATACCTATAGATTTTTGCTCTATTGGTAGAACAACTTATTTCTTCTTAAATTAGAGAATACTTCTTGAAAAACTGTTTTCGTTTATATTTAAAGAATCTATTGATTGAACAATTTATTACTTATTAATGGGTACTTGTCTCATTCATTTAACTTAGTTTTTATTATTAAAAGAAAAGTTGCTTCCTTATTGAAAAGTTCTTTTTTCTTTAAAACACAGAATGTAAGACATTCTACACAATCAAATGAATGTCTAAATACATAGAGAGCAAATTGGCAGCGGAATAAGAAAGACGTACTTACGTCCCGCCATTATTATTTGAGTAAAATCTTTGTGTATAGGCCCTTCTGCACTCTAATAACTTTTCTTAGATGGTGTATTTCGTCAAGTTGAGAGTGCAGGGAACCTTTTCAAAAGCTTCAATTTATAGCAGGTAAATATGTTTAGTCATTCCATCAAAGACATAACTGAAGCATAATGAGCATTTAATGATTGGAAAGTAAAGTCTTTCCTTAAAGACCACATGTAATATTTCAGTCCAAATATAATGAAACTTTCTGAAACAACATGATAAATGCATACTACTTTAATGAAGAATTAACTTACATAGAACTCATGAAAAAAATGACACAAACGGTCAACAATACAAAAGTAAAGAACATAATGAAAGAAACCAATAAGAAAGAAAAATTTAAGAGATAATCAGTTTCAATCATGGTTAAGATATATGGAGACCTGCAGGACGATATTTGTTCTCTTAGGGGCGGATCTAGCCTTCGCTACAGTATTTGGTAGAACTCAATAGGATTGGCTAGATCCTGTATTTATGTTAAAATATTTACTTAATATGTATAAATAAATAATTCATTTAGAACCCAATAGTTATTTTCTCTAAAATCTAGAATCCATAAACTCGAAATTATGGCTTTGCCTTTGAGATCTTTGCCACATATGAGCACGTTTAAAAATTAAGATAGTTATGTAGACAACAAAAATTTACAATATTAATGAGTTATTTAGTTCTGTCTTCATTCTATAAATACGTAAAGCTTTATTAATCATTTAATAATTGTTTGTTAATCACCAAATCAGCATTCAGAGGCCGCAGTGCTTAGGTACGTAGAACTCTCTTCTTTCTATGTTTTTTTTTTTTTTTTTTTTTACCAAATTGTCTACATAATTAGAAAATTTTGTGATTACCTTGTCAAACCAATATAGTTAATGTAGCAGTGATATGTTTGTGGAAAAAGTCTTAGCACTCTTAATTTGAAAAGGAATGAAAGCAATCCATCCTTTATTTACCAAAATTCTAAGTGGACATAATTGTAGTTCAACTCAAAGTTCGACCAATATTAGGCAAAGTCTAAAAATACAATTTTATCCAACGTTAAATTATGGTTTGATCAATATTTTAGGGTTATTTTGGTCAACCAACACTTTATTCATGTTTTTATAATATATATATATATNCCCACTTAGGCCCGTTTGGGTCCAGTCCCAGCACACTTAGCCCGGGATCATTAGTTCGTGATCCCGGTCCCGGTTCATTTACATCCAAAAGCCCACGAAGCCCGGGCCGACATAGAACCGGCCCATTTAGGACCGGCTCACGAGGCCCGTTTAGGCCCGGGCCCGGACCATTTGCTACCCTTAATATACACATGTACAGTACATGAAGAAATGGATTCGATATTTTCCAAGCTCTGCTCAATTACTCTCTTCTTCCTTCCTCTGTTCTTTTTGCTCCTTCAATAGCTATGCCTCTCTTAACAGATTGGAAGAAAAAAAAAAGGAGAAGAAAAACTTAGAAATGGCATATTAATTGGCTTGACCAACGAGGGTCGTAATAAAGTGGTAAATAATTATTTATTCTTAGTTTAAGTCTTACGTTGAAATAATAA